AAAAGAAAAAAAAGAGAGGGGGGGGGGGGGGGGGGGGGGAATGAAGTAATTTACCATTATGAGCGCTGTATCGTTAAAGCCCTCTGCAATTCTGGAGGCCACCTTTTCCGCAACCTGGTTTGGACTGCAGCAGAAGGTAAAAGTAACTGTGTTATTTGAACCGTGACATTTCAGGAAATAGGCTTAGAGAGATGTGAAAATTACACCGCGTGCTTACAAACAGGAACAAGATATCAAGCTGATGCTACACCTGACTGAAGTCAGAAGGCCAAGAAAACCCCAGCTCCTCTCTTCAGCACATGGTCTGGATCTTAGCTATGCTTAGGCAATGGGTTTTTGAGCGGAAAGACGCTCGCTGCAGGCTTTTTGTGGAATCAACGTTTTGCGGCCTCCTACCTCCTTCCACCAGACCAAAGACCGCAGACACCTTTGCCCTGGCAGGCATTTAAAAAAGAAGCCCAGTTTGCTCCCCGGCCTGCATTTGAACCCACCCGCTGCCCAGCTTCTCTACCACAATCAGATAACCTTTTAAAGGAAAACCTTTATCGTGTTTCAAAGATGACAATCTCTACATGGCACCAGTTATCTTCAGAAGTGAAATCGGGGTTTAAAAAAAAAAAAAAACCAACCCCAAGCCTGTGATACTCTTTCAAACCTCAAACAGAACAGACAAACTGTATCTTCTCCTTAAAAACGCCTCCAGCAGATTTATTTCCCTTGTAAGGAAAGGACAAATAATACCCTTACCCCTGTTAGATACCTGAGCAGTCACAAGTATTACTTAAAAAACATACTTGAGACCAAAGGATATACATTTACAAAATGACTGGGACATAGCATAATACTTTAAACAAGCTGCTCATATTTATTTTAAATGCAAGTATGATGTACTCTCATTGGTCCTGAAACTGGATTTGTCTAATAGATACGGGGAAAATATTTAATACGCATATCTAAAACTGTATTGTGGCTCCACAGGAAGGCCCCCTTATTGCTCGTTGAGTAATACGAGTTAGCTAGCAGGGAAAAAAAATGACTAATCCTGGGGAAAATAAGTGAAAAAAAGATATCTCTGCTTGACTGACATCATCTTCCATTTCAAGAGCGTCCCTTTACCACGTAAGAAAATGCTTCAGTAGAACTCGGAGACAATTAAGTAGTTTACTAAGAATTAGGTCACTTCTGAAAGACTTTCCAAAAGATCCTCGGAGTCATTCGAGTTCACAAGACGCGTACCGCACAAGCGAACGCGCCTGCAAATTTTGGCTATTTCCCTGACAACTGTAGTTAAACTGGTTGGCAGTCGTTCAAATACCGGCCTTTTATAGTACCCGCTAAAGAGGGGTGATTCTGGAAGGACTGGGGTTCCTGCACCTGAACAAAGGCCATAGCCACCAGCACCGCGAAGACAATGTGAAACCAGATGACAGTTGTCAAAAGTTAATCAACGCGCACGATTTACGTCGATGATTTTTGTTGGCAGGGTACAAAGTACAACATAAAAGAGCAAACAGAAGGAAATATGGCACCAACACACCTGGCATCTTTCACGCGTTCATTTGCCTGGTAATATCCAGCTATCACGTAGCTATTCTCTTTGCACCAAGAGTCAATCTGAAAAAGTAATTGGAACAATTAAGCCCAGGGAAAGAAAAAGAAAAACACCCCTACAGAACTAAGGAAATCTCGCGTCTGTCCTGCAAATAAAACGGCAGTTGAAGCATTACAAATACCTTTAAAGAAGCAATTGGCAAATATATTCGTATTTATACGTATTTATGTGCCCACTCACACACGGGGTTTGGCTGATTTAACTAGAACAGAGAAACCAAATGGAACATTTGGAGAATGATGGAAGACGTTAACCAAATGGAGCAAAAGAGCAAAGTCATCTCAGTCGAAGCCCGGCCTAAATTCAAGTGACAGGACTTGTACAGAGCTTCAGCAACGCTGCCTGGGAGAGGAGTCTAGCTCTTACCGACTGCCATTTGTGGCTATTTTCTGTTCGTGTTCATCTGAGAGAGAGAGACGTTAGAAAACGTCCACCGTGCGGATGCGTGACTGTACTGTCATTTCAAAAACAGCCTGTTGATTTTATTGCTAACGTAACATTTCTAGGCTAAAGTGGAAGCATTTTTCACCTTAATTAGCAAATAAAGCTTGATGTGAAAGGTAAACGCGAGGCAGAAAAAGTTTGTCCCGCTCGCCATTTTTTCAACCCACTCCGTTACAAAAAGGCTTTTGCGATGAAATTGTTTTTCTTCGAGAGCTCACCCGCAAGGGAAACTAACCACTGTTATCAACCAACGTGGGTGCTCTTTAAAATCTTTCAATCAAAACCGAACACTTTTCTCAAAATACTCTCCAGCTCAGCCACGAGACAAAGGCTCGATGACAGAACTATTGGCATCGATTCTCTCGTCTCTGCTATAGACACGGTCAGACCAGGCGGCTCCTCCTTCTTTAACACCTGTCTGTAAATACTTAAACATGCGCATTTATTTGCACACAATTTACACAACTTTTCAGTTACACAAGTACAAAAGTTTAGGTAGTTTCGGTTATTTGTAAGTGCAGTTTCAGCACGCGCGCACTGCTGTTCCTTCTGCCTTACGCTGGATCTGAATTCCTCCCCCGAGTCGGTCTTGCTTTGAAAAAAAGAATAAATTTTATATATATATATATATGACTTTTCTCCTTATAACTGAGGATATCGAGTCAGCATAATACAGAGCCCTGAGAGACAGAAGTGGAGAAAGCAGCTAGAATTTTCCTTTGCAGCCCCTGGAGAGCATGCATCAAAAAAACCTCAACAGCTATATTAAAATGGAGTCCAAAAATATATCTGACACTGACCTGTCGCATCCTGTAAGTCAAATCAATCTCATTTTTAGCAATAATTATAGTATTAGACTGCATAAACAAACAAACAAAAAAAGCCATGTGAATAATCCCTCCTCTACAAGGGATGACATGGATTTAGGTGATTTTTCAACAACAACAACAAAAAGAAGCTGCGTGGCCCTGCTATAGCTGAGGGCCAACTGCTGTTTCAATTACAAACCCATTTTGAGGGCTTAGGACTAGGGTTTTAATTGTTAGTGGCTCGAAAGCTTGGCATCGAAGCCAGAAGTCCAGACACTAAAATTAATAATAATTTTAAAGCGTCCATCAATTTAAAGATTGAAACCCTTAGTTCTAAGTCAATTTTTGTCGTCTACCGAAAATGGTCTTTAAAAAAATAATAATAATAAAAAAAAAAGAGTATGATTTTTAAGTTCTCAGTTCCCTAAGTGGTAATTAAAAACTGCTTCTGTAAAAAAAAAGGAGGGGGGGGGAATACATATCTGTTTGGAATTAAAGCTGTTTCCACCTGCGATTTCCAAACGCTCTCTCACCGCGGCACTGTCCCCACAGGGAGCCTCGCCATCGGTTAGTCCCCGGTGTTTTCAGTCATGCCCAGCCCTGACGAGGACAAGCCAACGGGGGACAGATTGGCAAGAGTGCCCTGCCCCCCCCGAGCTGCTGCGGCCACCGAAGGCGGGCGGCGGGGAGGGGGTGCGTTTAGGAGGGGGATGGGGGGAGCGAGGCTGTAACCCGCTGCCAGCTGACCGCTCCTCCGGGCGGCGGGGAGCCAGCCACGCGAACGGAGGGGGAAGCGCTCCTCGTGTTTTTGAGGAGATGCGGTTGCAAAACCACATCAATTAGCCGAGAAATTCAAAGGCACGCACAAAAAACAACCCCCCCCACGCGAAACTTAATTCGCTTTTTCTTTAACGGCTCCGTTTCTGAAAGGGATTTCAAGCCGACAAGCCAAAGTGCAAATTAAATGCACGCGCTTCTGCTCTCTCCGCCGGAGCTACAAACCTTCAAGCGCTGCTGTGTGTTTAATAAAATCTCCTTTTGGGGATTCCTTGTGCCTAGGCTGCCGCCGAAGCGCCGCTCGCAGTTTTTAGAAGTTACCACACGGACGAGCCCGCCTGAAAGCGTACCCTCCGTTTTCAGCTTAAATCTGGAGGCTATTGCTCCCGTTTGACGTTCCGGGATAACCCAGGTCAGAGAGGAGGCGGCGAAACTCTGCGGGGCTGGTTCTAGAAAACCCTCACGCGTGTGACCAGGCCACAGGCTTGACCGAGAATCCGCAGTAATTGAACTGGAAGATCCCGCCAAAACCTGCCAAAGCTTCAAAACCCTTTAGAAACATCGAGCTCCAACCACGCGATCTTGCCGATTTATGCGGTAACCGTGCGTTATATTCTACAGAACAGGCGAGAGCGCCCTCCTTTTAAACATTACAACAACGAAATCCAATTTTCATAGCTGCTGCGCCAGTATTTATTGACACCTTTGCCTCTGTTTAAACAAAAAAAAAACAAACCCAAACACCGAGAGCAAAAGGCCTTGGCCTCTTGTCAAACGCTGTGTTTTAAAGCTGCCAAGTATCACAGGAGTCATCAAATGTGACTGCAAACCACAACGCGTCTCGGCAAGTCCTAATTAACGTGGGAAACGCCAGGGGGTTCCAATCTTCAACTTTTTGTATCAAAACCCAAGAGCAAATACGTACGACGTCGCCTTTTCTTTGGTTCCATAACGATTTCCTTACTGTACATGTGGTAAGATGTTTCAGATGTTGCAAGAAACAGGATTTCTTTCCTAATAGTGTGATCCTGTAGCAAGATCCACACCAGAAAACTACACCGAAGGCCTGAACTTCGTGAAAATTCACTGCCACCGACCCGGTAGAAAATTCACTGCCACCGACCCAGCAGAAAGACATCTAATCCTGATTTAAAGACAAACCCTACACGTACTTTAAACATAGTATACACGTTGTTCTATACTTCACTAGCAACTTCCACTTAGTCATTCCCAGAGGAAAAACAAGTTACCGTCGTTCGAAAAGGTAAAGTCAAGCCCTGCCTGCGTTAAAGGAATTGTAAACAGTATTATTACTTTTTCCCCACGCAGTAACATAAGGAAAACCGTAAGCAGGAAACGATTACGCTGGCAGCATCCATTTCTGTGTTACTCCTACGCTGTTACGCTGGTGTAAATATATTTAAGACTGACAAGTTCTGCGTGCTCCGCAGCAATACGGCAAACCTAAACGGCCCGGGCTCAGCCCCAGCCCCCGTTCCTACGCCTCCGGCTGCATTTTATCATACCCCGGCCTCAGAAAGATCTCAACGTTCCCACGGCGTCATCTCAACGGGAGAAAACTGGAATTTATTTACAAATAATTTTTTTTTTCTTTTTTTTGGATGAAGCAACCTATTAAACCGAGGGAAAACACTTAGGGCAAGAAGTCTACAAGAATCAGGAACGAGTTGTTTTTTACGGGTGTCCAAAAGGGATGGATTTTCTCCTGTTAATCGTGACAAGCCTTTAAATGGAGGGAAAAGTCCAGAGCTCAAATCACACCCGGATCTCACTTCAGTGGCAGCTACGTCTACTGTGAAGGTGCCAAAGCGCTTCTTTGCGTCCAGCTTTGCGCCAGCCCACCCCGACCCCCCTGTTACAATAAAAACCCGAGCACGTTTCGCTCCCTCCGCCTTCTGGTTTTGAGGAAGGGACCCTCCCCAAGTGCCGGGCAGAAAGGAGCCACGGCCCAACGCGGGACGGCTCCCGCTTTTCACGACCAGGGGCTTGAGCCCGGAAAGCGCCGGCCCCGGCACCGTTCTCATCCTGCCTCCCTGACAGCGGGTTGGGGC